CCGATCCGACCGTGAGCGTGCCATAGCGTCGAATGATGATTAGGATGATGTCACGAATTTCCAAGGCCTGAATCGCTCTTGCGAGGTGTTTAACTGCCCGATGACGCCAGGCAGCACGGTAACAGGCTGGGCGTCAATGCGTAAACAACAATAGCACGTGTCTGCGTGTTGATTATGCAAACTGTCTCTTCAAATAAATATTACTTGCGCAGTTACGGTGCTTTCCGACTCAATAAAGCGAGAACCCAATTTCTCAAGGCTCCTCGATTTTCACGAGTATACGCAACGTGCGTTCTGCGTTCTTCCGCGACGAACTTGAAATTTATATATAATCCTCACAATATGAATTCATAAATTTGCGCGAATTTAGATAACACAATTTACGTGGATAATCATAACGATGTGACTTTGAAGAAATTTTGCGCTGAAAAGTTGGAAAGAAGCTTCTCCAATTCTCAGTCGCGAGGATTCTAAAGATCTCATTTAAGATATTCAGCCCTGAAAGGCTCGTAAAACCCAAGGATTTGGATTTCAAGCCCATATCCTTACGCGGATTTATCCCCGTGCAAAAACCTCTTCTTGTTTGCTCTATCCTCTCGCGAAGGCTTGTCGAGGGGGATCATAACTCCGGCGCGATAACTTTATCTCGCGCGCATTCCGCGCGAGTAGCACGTTGCACTTTCCTCACGCGTTAGAAGGAATCGTTATCGACGCGCAAGATCGATTCCATGGCCGGCGACCGACCGTGGTTGGAAACCGGTTCCCGAGCCTCGTCCGGCCGCGTTTTCGTTTTCCTCCTCTCGACGACTCCGATCCCCGTCGACTCTCGTTTTGGTTGATTACGCGCGGGACCGGCAGGATGTTGCGCAAGATCATGACTCCCTCGATGCGCGTTCCGCCGATCGAGGCCTTGGTGCGAGCTGATCGTTATCCCTTTTTCGGAGGATCGGCAATTCTCGCTCGCGAGTAGATCACTCTCGTGACCTACATCGACGTACGCGTCTTCTGAATACCAAGAAACGCAAGTCCGCGCTTCGCCGAACAAGGGTGAGGATATATCCGATTAAAAGCGCGCAATCGAGGATACTTTTACATAACGGGAACGGATGAAATGTCGCTTCATCTCGCGACCACCAGAGAAGATAAACCACTCAATTACTAATATAACAAACGTTCGCGCGCGCGAGAGGTGGTTGAACATAAGTGCTCGGCATCGCGCATTCGACGCGCCTCGACGTAAACCGCAATATCACACAAGTGCGTACCCCATCAAAGCGAATGAATTCGAGGCTCGAATAGCGGAGGAGAAGCGGATGAAGGTTAACACGCTCGACGCACCAAGCATCCAGTAGCTTATCGGCTGCGCGGGCGTGCGAGATTACCGCCACGGCCTATTTATCGTGCAAAATAAATACCCCGGTTTAATTCTATTCGCAGCCGAACGCAATTTTTATCGGCGGATGACTCATCGCGCTCGAAACGCTCGCGTTGGAATTTTATCGTGCTAACGGCGAGCGATGATCGCTCGCGAGCTGTCCGTTCGTGTCGTTCGCGTGCGATACGGAGTTAACCGGTATATTATTACTATTCTTATTACAGAATTGTTACTACGCAAAATAATGATACCACACTGAAAAAAAAAATTATTTGCAAGAAAGATTTTTTTTTGAATTTTATTTCCTTAATTCAAAGAAGTATTAAGTAGATTCGAGAAAATATTTTTAACTCAGAAAAATGTTTTCTTAAATCTACCCAATACTTCCTTGAATTAAGGAAACTAAATTCAAAGAAATCTATTTTCTTGCAAATAGTAAATTTATTTTTCAGTACATCGATCCAACAATGATTCAATTTATTTTAACAAGATTTGTTCACCAAAATATATTTTCTCCAAGTGATCTTCTCGGATTACATAAATCCTGTATTTTTCAAATCTCATGTTTTCTCATCTTAAATAATACGAACCTGACATTTTTATTTTCGTCCCTAATGACATTCGTTATTCACTCGCGACGTTTTTCCCCGCTGAAGCGCATTCAAATAAACTGTATATCTTTCAAATCCCATGCCACGCCACCGCGGGGCGTCGGTATTGCAACCCTTTCTACTAACCCCTCAAGGAGCAGCCAATTTCTCTCCTCCTCTCGAGATCGTTTTACGTACGCGTCTGCCTTCCTTCGCCTTCGCCTCTTGAAATTGATGATACAGCCCCCTGAGGATATTCATCGAATCGAGTTTTCACGAGCATGCGACGGTAGATAGACGCGATTATGCCGCGTGACCCATCGCACGATAGCAGATGGTAAAGTACGTAATTAACGTGACTTTAATGATCTCGGGCATCATAATACGAGAAAAAACGGGTTTTTTTTATCCTTCTCATCTTCATTCAACTCTTATTTTTGCGCATTCGGAAAAATTGACCGTCCGTAGGTCGAAGAACACCCGATAGAGAGTATTCAGAATGCTCCATGTTTCCACCGTTTTATACCTGGCTCGTTATTTGTCTGAACGATAGTGCTGGCGGTTAGGCGAAAGGTATGCGTCTGCAGGGAGACGTTCGTTGTAATTGCATTGGTCCCGCGCTCATGCAAGTTTCGTAGAAGTGTCAAGGCGAACGAAAATGCATTACGAATGCATCGCGATATAGTGCTTAACCTTTCTTGGTGCTCATGTACCATCGCGTATAAATTTTTTATCGGTTTTCACATGTCGCAGACTCAATCTTCGCGAGTAATTCTAATCAAATTATCGCTTTACAAACACACGCTGAAGATTGAACGAGATTAATAAAACAATTTTTCAAAATATTTTTTTGGATTTCTGTTTTCAATTTGAAACTTTGAATGTACGAAAAAAGTGAGGATCTCTAAAAAATTTTATATTCTTCACTTTTCGACTTTTGTAATTCTTTCGTGTATTTTTTTCGCGTATATTTAATAATTTCTCTCGTAGCTTTCCCATATTTCAGCCCATTTTCTAGGCGACTTGAATCGCCGTTCACGATAGGAATGCGAGTCGTTCATCTTAGCGGTATAGAGGGATGTGGAGGTGCACTTTAGATATTACGCTTTTGGCGAAGAGCCCCTTCCTCTCATCCACCGATCGTTCATTGCGCGAGTTACGAGGCCCGCTTTTAGAAATTCATAACAAAGCCACCGCTACTCTCGATAGTTGGCCGATGTTTGTACGCGTGTTGGCGGCGTGCCACTTGTGCAACACGTGTACGCACGGGGATTTCCGTAAAGATGAAAACGGATAGCGGCGCAAATCCCGTTTCCGAGTGCCTTCCTACGTAAATTACGTTGGCATCGTAATTCTCTCGTGTTCGCGACGTTCCGTCGATACCGAGCGATCTCGTCTCCCGCGCGCTGCGCGCAATCGGATCGACTCCGTGCCAAATAATGATACTCCGTGAGTCGTTTACGTAAGAAAGTGTTGCTCGCGAGAACATGTAGTATCGCACGCGACGAGAAATCGAGCTTTGTCTTGGTTCGCCACGTTTATTAAGACAATGGGGTTAACTTTCGTAATTATTGTGAATTAAGCTTCTCGCTCGTACACGGTCAATTCCGAGAATAGGCGTACTTGAACTGATAAATTTCACCAATTTTCGTGAAGCCGCTTTAATGGTAAGGTTGACCGATATAGCCGTACAGTAACGCATTAAATAATTACGATCTTCAAAAAGATCGAACAAACTAAATATACGCAGAATCAATATCTTGGAACGAACTGATATCACTCGCGCGGCGCGTACATGGAAGAACAAACGTTTTGTATCTCAACACGCGACATTTCCCTTATTTTTCCATTCCACGTCAGAGAGGGACGTTTATTGTTTCAGTTCCAAGGTGACGAGATGAAATGAGGAAGGGAAAGATAAATGTACAACAAAGCAATTCGATTTTACATTAAATTGAACACGAACTGTTTCGAAAATGAATGCTTTATTATTAGCAGCAAATAGCTCTTTTGACATTTATAACAGTAAATTTGGGGATAGCGAGTAAGGGTTGAAAGAAATAATCGGAGCTTTTGACCTCGCGTAGCAATGGTGAATCTTTTCGCACCCCTTCTCGCGAAAATGTATTTTGTTTCGCAATCTCTTGACGATGTGTCGGTCCACTGACGCCGACTGACGGCACCGCGTAACGTGAATGACGTCGCCGGTAAGTTATGTAAGTGGCAAACGAGCAATCAGACGACCGACTTACGTTTCGTTCGTCGACCAGACATGCGTTCGCCATGCTTCTGGGCGTAAGATAGGATTGAAACAGATATATGTATGTATACATTAATATATGTCATTAATATTATAATTAAAATAATGAGAATTTTAATTCAAACTCTCATAAGATCAATCCAATTAAAAAGAACCAAACTGTTAAAAATACAAAACTCTAATTTGAGATATGTAAAAAGAGATTCTTATCTAACCTTTTTATTCGTCCTAATGGAAATCGCAAAACTGAAAAAATTTATTTGACGCTCAATACGTTCACCCTTCAGCCAATCGGATTAGGCTCCTTGTATACGTGAGAGTCATACGTGTGCGTGCACGACGGACTTTTCGAGGAAGGTTGCTGCATGTTGCCGAGGGGTAGGACACGCGAGGGGGCGTGGCGACAAAAGCGGAAGTTAAATCGTTAAATTTCGCTTAGCTTTTTTTCCACGAGACTCGCAAGGCTCGCGGAAATCCACCCTTCATTTTATTATTCGAGACTTGCCGGTTCTCTGAATGCAAAGGTCATCGTTAAACGGTATAATTTTAATGGAGAACGCGATGGAAAGATGATTAACTTATAAATTGCATTGTCAGAAAACTGACTCTTTCAGCTCAATTTGTTAAGATTTTTACGGTGCAATAATTATTAAACGTTAATTATTTCGTCTCTCTCAAGTATCTAGATATTGAAAATATATGATGAATGATCATAGATTATGACACATGCCTCTTTCATCTTTGTACTAATACGATACGCTTCTTCTGATTTCAGCGAAGGTAGAGAAAAAGTACGCGTCTCGTTGTTGGGTCCGCAGCCATCGCCGGCGACGCCAGGCGTTCTCTTGCTGGAGCCGATCACGCACTCGACAGGACACCCGATAAACATGGCCAACAATCCCGCGGAACTTTTGACCACGCACACCGAGCACACCACACCCGCCTACCACGCGCAGATCAGGTAAGGTCTTGTTACCGACAAGATCTAGTCTTAAGCCTTGTGTCCACGATACTAGAAATCGCTTCGAGATCTCGGACGGAGACGAAATTGACCAATCACATTTAAACAATTCGGCGATTGATCAATGCGATTGGTTAATTCTTTCTCCGTCCAAGATCTCGGAGCGATTTCTAGCATTGTGGCTTTGCAAATAAAAACGTAACAAATCGCCAGATTATGAGATAAATTAGAGCGTCGCCAAATACTGAAGGAGACTAATTAAGACTCATTTTGGAAAGACATGCGCTCTGCGCATTTAAAGGTCTTTTTTCGTGAAGGCAACATTTACAAAATTATTAGAAATGAAATTAAGCAATCAGAACAAGCAGGGAGGGCAACTAAAAATCATGAAAGATGGTAAACATCGTGTGCGAAAGAATATTTCCTGCGTTTTGGTGCATTAATTTATTTAATTTTTATCGTCTTTCAATGCATCATTTTTTCGCGAATAAAAACTCGTAAAGTTATAAAAAGGCAAAGGAGGGGAAAAAAAGAGTGCAAAAATCATATCGAAGATGAGAGACACTGTCCCCGGAATAATTAGCCTCCCGTGCACGATTCGCGCGACCCTTGACGATCTTAATGGGCCGGAAGTGACGTTCCTTTCTCTCTCGGACCCCTCCGCGCCCCTTTGTGTCTCCGTCAACTGGTACCGCGCTACCAAACTATTTACGATGGTTCTCCGCGGTTACTGCTTGTTCGTGGTACAGTGTAACTATTACGCATTAAAACTGTCCTATGTCTCTGTCGTTACTGCGACATTACGAGCCGCCTGGCCCGCACACGTTGCATGTAAATTTTCTGACGGTTTCCTTTGTCAAATGAGCATAATATAAGTCGGCGAACAATGAAGACGACGGTGAGCGACTGTATATGAATTATATTTTGTGACATCTCGAACTTTTTAAGCTCTCTAAGGAGCCTTATAAAATCTTCAGAGAAATTCAATTTTACAGTATTACAGTTTATCTCTTCGAAAATAATTCGAGATATTCGACAAAAATTATATTTATTTCAAAACTTTGTTATCCTTTACGGATTTTATCTTGTGCTTATATATCCCTTGCAAATCCTCACATTCGACCCTTATGTAATTCCGCCGGTAAAATGGACGCCGAAATGGAAGAGGAGGAACAGTCGAGAGAACCGATCGAGTATTCTCCTCTCGTTCGAAAGAGCATCCCCATTTTTTTTCCCTACACAACTCTGATCTTCTGAACGCTCGATCGGTTGCATGGCTAGGCACTTGCGGCGTACAAGCATTGTTACTCGATAGAACGTTACGTAAAGTCCTGCATATGTCGTGCGAGGTCTCTAATTGCTGGTGCAAACAAAGAATCGTGTCTGCAGCGAAATTTGTCTGCATGAAATCATCACGTGTAAAATTCCTCAACAAATCTATAATTTGTTTAATTATAAATTTGTTGCGGAATTTGCGTATTCGTATAACTATAATATTGCAATTATACACAAATTAATCTAAACTGAAAACTTACTGTCGCATAATTTTTTATATTTTAGTATACTTTTTATTTTTGCAGAAAATTATGGAAGAGGCTAGCTTTATATAAGATTCCTTTCAAGGTTTTTTGCATTTTTTTTAGAGAAAGACAGTCGATTGGAATTCTTATAACTTTTATGACGATAAATTTTATCGTGAGAACATTTCACTACGTGGTTTCAATGGTAACGCGTTTAGGCATCGAGATATTTAATCTTAAAAATTGAGAAAACATATAGGGGAGAAAAGCTCCGAGAAGAAATCTTGAGTCTTCGTTCGCAGACGAGAATGGTACACGGATCCCTTCGATACCCTGTACATCCAGAATGCACCCTCCCACCCCATCTGTTACTATTACCCAGTCGTTCTCTCACGTACACATCGGAGTTTCGCTATCCATTCATACACGCGACTATCTCCGCGTACATACAGTCGGGTCCGAGCCCAAGTTACTTCTGCACCGCCACCACCTCCTCCACCTTCTCCACCTCTACCACCTTCGCCGCCACCACCACCGCCACCACCACTGCCATCACCGATGGCCCCAGCAGCCTCGCCGAATCGCGGATACCAGCCAGCGCAGCAGCGCCCGGCACCGACTCCACCACTGTGTTCCTGATGCGCGCGAGTACCGGAGAGAAGAGTGGCGAGGAGAGAGGTGAGGCGCGACGACGGTGGTGGACTGTGGAGGACGGGAGAGATCGATATAGCGTGGGTGGATGTGCAGAGGTGCGGTGAGGCCGCCGCCACCAGTCGTGCTGTCGGCTGCATCGGCGGACAATCGTGCGCGCTCTTTCTCTCTCTCTCCGTAGTACCCCCTTCTCGTCGGTCCGTCTCTCTTCCTCCTCTTTATCTCCATTTTTCCTCCGTTCCTCTTGTCCCCTTTTTCCAGAGCTCTCCTCTTTCTCGTAGCCCTTCGTATCGTCCCCCGCGTGTCGATCGCGCAGCCGATCGCGAGCAACGTCGAAACCTCGGGATCGCTGCTGCATCCCCGATGATGCGGTGATAACGGCGTTCGCGACAGTGTGATAAGGCCGATGACACGGTGGCACAGTGAATGAGCAGTGCGGTGATTCCTACGTGTGGATCTCTGTCGATTCGGATTAATCCGATCGGGCTTGACGAGTGAGTCAGGAGGATAAATCGTCAAGATCCATTACGATCGCGCGATTGTTCGATTTATCGAGATCTGTGTTCATCCTCTCTCTTTCTCTCTTTCTCTCTTTCTCTCTCTCTCTCTCCCTCTCTTCTCAACGCACGTGCGTGCGCGAGGATGCGTGTCACGCGCGATTTTTCTCGGGGCTGGGAAAATTTACCGTAACTTGCCGTAATCCCCTAATGGCCACGCGATTCTGACCGCAATCTGCGACGCAAAGCTCGCGACACGACCTCGCGAATAACGAATGCAGTGCTGGTGAAACCAGTGTTTTTCTGTTGCGTATACTATTTTTCATACTCCCCACGGAGATTTCCGAGCCGCTGCAAGGTCCTTGTTGAATAAGTGCGAACGATCCGTGGTGTGCCGTTTGCGAGACGCGATGAAAGACCTCGGACACGTACGGTGCCCATGAGTCATCGTCGAATTTTTTTCTGCTTCGTATTTTTCGATATTTTATTTTTTAGCAAAAATTTAAAAAAATTGATCATTTTTAGCGGCATAATTGTTTTCGTTACACAATTCTGTTACACGCACAATTTTGCGCTTATTCATACATACGATGTTTAGCTCTTACAAATTGCCTTATATCAGTAGAAGGAACGGAAAGTATACGAAGGAAAACTCACGCGAATCAGGCTTCCCCGAAAGAAAGGAAAATAGTAAACCGCTCACAGGTATTGACTTTTTCGCGTGCCATCTTGCTTCCGCGTGTGTATTTCTAGCGGCCTATACCACGCAGTCTATACAGTTTCCTCTGTTTTAGCTATGTTATATACATTTTTTGTATTTTCTTAACAATTTTGCAGCACCTACAAACTTCAATGTTCAGTTATCCTAGCTGGGTATGCATATATGGTTACAATTCGTGTCAACGCTCAATTCGCTTTTACGAACATATTTTTCACTTCATATCGTGGAAGCTGCGAGACTCGCGAGGCGAAATTCGGAGTAATCCGAATGCGTCCAAGTCGGAGCGGCGCGTGCCAAAGATAGCGACCGGAGGAACGACGACTTCGTCGTCGGGAACCGTGACCTGCCTCAGAACCAACCGGGATGAACTCTGTTGCGATCACCTAATTGCCTAATTAACCGTAGAATGTGAATCGACCTTTTACCATACAGTCGCCGAGCGAGGCCTTGTTGTTTATCTCAAATTATTAATTAAATCAATCCAATCTTTTGAAGCATCTAATCGTATTAATTTCGTTCACCCTGTCGCAAAATCACGGTGTATTAACATTTCGCGATAATCTCTTCCGTGAAGAATTAGCGAATCTTTTGAAGAATTTATAAAATATTGTAAATTATTATTTGTATTAATTTGTGTTAATTATATTAATCTGAAGGAATCATTTCTGATTGGTTAGAATAACGAATTCTGTTTTACTGTACAAGTTAGCTCTTGAAAGCTTCTACAATTATGTACAGAACGAGCCTTGAGCACAGTCGAAATACATGGCTTATTGCATGTGCATTCGGGCAGCCGTTTCACGTTCATAAAGACTAAAAGTGTATTTACGAGGGCGTGTCGCGCGTAAAACGAGACTTATTTCGAAGAGAGGCGAGTAGGTAGGTTGAGACGGCGGCGATCACGGCGTGAATTTTTCAACGGGGCTTTTCTCTCGTCGCATGTCTGAGAAAAACGCGCATTACCACGAACAGGATAATAATAACTCATCCTCCTAGACGCTGTGCGCACCTCGAGCGACGCTCGTTGATGCAAAATAGGAGGGATGAGAATGCACTCGTTAATATTCCCGTAAGCAATTGAAGTTCTCGTCAATTACGCACACAATGTAACTTATACTAATTTACAAAACCGCTTTGTGCTTCCGAACAATTGTTTTCGACAACTTAACGAAATTTCTTCAAGCTGATTTTCCTAATTGCGTCAAACTGAAAGACTCAACAGTGAAATTAAACGCCGTAACGATTTTAGAACAAGGAACAATTTTCAGTATTGTTAAATAAGGTTTCGAGAATTCTAAGACTAAATTAACACGGCGCGCGGCGTGTCGAAATGTTTTAATCTCGCGTTGAGACGTAGCCAGACATGCCGGTCGAGCGCGACGCGACGCGCCTCGTGACACGATTTTTGCCCTCGCACTCTCACGACCTGCTCATCTGAATGACGCTCGCCCTCCGCCTCGTTGATCTCCATTAAGCTTCTTCACGGGAAATTCGGTCGCGCAGGTCCTCGTATTACCGTCAATTACCAATTACGCGTCGATAGACGCGAGTAAACGTCGTTAAGTGGATTATATGGCTGCCGTATAATGACCGCGAGCAATGACAATGGTA